GAGTTCACCGCTGCCACTGTGTCTATCAGTCATCACCGTTTCCAGTCGGCTGACATGTTCCCAGCCAGCTGGGTTGATTCTCCATGGCGTGTTGGACTGTAGCAGCTGTAACGGAGCCCCGGTCGTGCTTTTCTCTTAATGACGAATACAAGCTTTGTGCAGATTCCCAACACTGGCAAGTGTAACATTTGCCCGGGGTGGAAAAAAACATTCATGCTGGCTATAAGATCTGGTTTGGGGCTGGTGGGGGGATTGTGCTTTTCCAAAACAAGCTTCCCTGAAACTAGAACAACAAACCTGGGACACACCACCAAGCACAGATTGCACCACACACTAACACAGCAGCTGTCTTGGCACAAGGCGCCCCACTGTTCCTGACCTGGGCGTGATCACTTCCAGTGGCTACTGGTGCTCCAATCAAGGTGTTCCTATGGGTTTGCGGTAGAATTCCTTTCTTAAGCCGCTGACGCGATGTTTGTGGTATCTGTTTTTGGCAAGGAATGAATGGAAGAGAAAACATCTTTGAAACCTTCGCAGAGAAAACTTGCTGGAATGTAGGGATTCTCGATAAGTAGCTAGAAAAGACTGGGGAATTATTCCCAAGGAACATCCCAGCCCTTGAAAATGCTGCAAATATCAAGGCAGAAGAAATCTTGCAGTAGTTTGCTGTTCTGTAATATTGTAAAACATTGAACAGTAAAGTGCAATAAAATCCTAGTGAAATCAGGGTAAAAGTATAGTAAGGTCCAGTCAGATCTGTAAAGACACTCAGCCCAGCTCACCTGTACTTTTTTATTGACACTCCATCATGAACTTACTGTCAAACCCCCTTGTACGGTACTGCACTGTGCTTTGCTGTACTGTGGGACACAGATCAGTGCTCTACTGCGCTGTGCTGTACTGTACTGTGGGATACAGATCAGTTCTCTGCTGTACTGTACTGTGGGATACAGATCTGTGCACTACTGCACTGCACTGTGCTATACTATACTGTGGGATATAGATCAGTGCTCTACTGCACTGATCTGTACTGTACTATGGGATACAGATCTGTGATCTACTACACTGTGCTGTACTGTGGGATACAGATCTGTGCTCTACTGCACTGTCCTGTACTGTGGGATACAGATCTGTGCTCTACTGCACTGTGCTGTACTGTGGGATACAGATCTGTGCTCTACTGCACTGCACTGTGGGATACAGATCAGTGCTCTACTGCACTGTGCTGTACTCTACTGTGGGATACAGATC